ATTTGACGATTCGGATTTAGATTTTTATACAGAATTATTTCTCCGGAAGTTGAAACGCAATCCAACTAGTGTGGAATGTTTCGATTTAGCGCAATCTAATAGTGAACATAGCCGTCATTGGTTCTTTAAAGGGCGCATCGTTTTGGATGGCAAAGAGGAAAAACAATCCTTGATCGATATGGTCATAGACACGCAAAATTATTCGAATCCGAACAATGTGATTAAATTCAGCGATAACAGCAGCGCCATAGAAGGATTTCAAGTCTCCGTCCTGCGTCCTATAAAAACTGACAAATGCAGCAATTTTCATCTAGACGATGTCAAACAGCATCTCATTTTTACAGCGGAGACACATAACTTTCCAACTGGTGTGGCACCTTTTAGGTAAATCTAGGTAATATTATATAATGAGTAGGTAAAATCAAATTAAAGAATCAATGTTACATATTTTAGATTGTTTGTATACCGATTTAATTTGTTTCATGAATGATTAATGATTTACTGCTATATTTGATTTGATATATGTTTTAAATATGAATTAATGTTATAACAGTGGTGCTACAACTGGCACTGGAGGTCGACTGAGGGATATTCAAGGTATTGGTAGAGGAGGAAATTATATAGCAGGCACTGCAGGTTACAGTGTTGGCAATCTCCACATTCCAGGTACGTTAAATCTTTATTTTTCTTGATTAAGTTTTGTTAAAATTATAGTGTTTATCTATATTGTGAATAAATGGTTGCAGCTATCGGTTCAGATATTTTGCCTAGTAAATAAACCACCAACGTCTAAACATCAATATCGGATCATTCTCAATACACTGTTTATCTTTTGCAGACTACGATTTACTATGGGAAGAAAAGGATGCAATTTATCCCAACAACATGGCATCGCCGTTAGAAATCATAATTGAAGCTAGCAACGGTGCATCCGATTATGGAAACAAATTTCGAGAGCCAGTTGTGTCCGGTTTTGTACGCTCTTACGGAGCAACGGATAACGCAGGAGTCAGACGAGAATGGATCAAGCCCATAATGTTCAGTGGAGGATTAGGAACCATGGATGCGAATTTTGCTAATAAAGTAAGGTTCTAAGTTTATTTTTCGCGGTATTGTAAATAGTTTTTACAATAGTTGATTTTTCAGAGTATAATACTACTAAAAAAAAACTTTTTACTTGCACCGTGATTCGGATATTACATACATGCGATAATTCTTGTTCAGGTTCCAGCAGAACGAGGTATGAAAGTAGTCAAGATCGGCGGGCCAGTCTATCGAATCGGCGTGGGTGGCGGTTCGGCGAGCAGCGTGGAGGTACAAGGCGATAACAGTGCCGAACTGGATTTCGGTGCTGTGCAACGTGGCGATCCCGAGATGGAGCAAAAATTGAACCGCTTGGTGCGTGCGTGCGCGGAGATGGGCAACGGCAATCCAATTCTCAGTATTCACGATCAGGGTGCCGGTGGTAACGGCAATGTCCTCAAGGAACTGGTGGAACCCGCCGGTGCCGTGATCTTCACAAGAAACTTTGACCTCGGTGATCCTAGTATCAGCACGATGGAACTTTGGGGCGCGGAGTATCAAGAAAGCGACGCGATCTTGTGCAAACCGGAGGACGACGGTCTGTTGAGGAGAATCGCTGCGCGTGAGAAGTGTCCGATCAATTTTGTCGGCACTGTTACCGGAAATGGAAAACTTATTGTTTCCGAGGAGGAAAGCTGCGATGCCTCGAAGTATCTTAATTACGAAGATAAAAACTTGGATAGTAGCAAGCATCCGGTGAATCTGGAATTGGATGTTATTCTTGGGAAAATGCCTCGCAAGGTCTTCAATCTGCAGAAGGTGTCGCCGCCGAGATTCCCGATGAGCCTGCCCGATGGATTGACCGTGCCTAGCGCTTTAGACAGAGTTCTTCGACTGCCTTCAGTAGCTAGCAAACGGTATTGTGTTTTATTATTATCAATTCTATTATAAGACTATAATAAAACTTTATTGATTATCAAATTGATTGTCATATACAGATACTTAACAAACAAAGTAGACCGTTGCGTGACGGGCTTAGTAGCCCAGCAGCAATGTGTCGGTCCACTGCACACGCCTCTGGCGGACGTCGCCGTGATAGCCATTTCACATTTCTCTGTGGAAGGCATCGCGACTTCCATTGGCGAACAGCCGATTAAGGGACTCGTGAATGAAGCGGCCGGCGCTCGCATGACGGTGGCTGAGGCCCTCAGCAATCTGGTGTTTGCGCGAATCTCCAGTCTTCGAGATGTCAAATGCAGCGGCAACTGGATGTGGCCGGCGAAACTACCCGGCGAGGGCGCTGCGCTTTATGAAGCCTGCTCGGCTATGTGTTCGTTGATGAAGGAGCTTGGAATTGCGATCGACGGCGGCAAGGACTCGCTCAGCATGGCCGCGCGCATCGGCAAGGACGTCGTCAAAGCACCCGGTACTCTCGTCGTGTCCTGCTATGCGCCGTGTCCCGACGTTCGCCAGGTAATCACTCCGGATCTCAAAGCTCCTGCCGCGGGACGGCAGGGTCGCTTACTCTTCGTCGATCTGTCCGGCGGGAAGAGCCGGCTCGGTGGAACAGCCCTGTCTCAGGTCTACAATCAATTGGGCGACGACGTGCCGGACGTTGAGAACGCGCAGGCTTTCAGAAGCGCCTTTGACGCCACGCAGCAGCTGATTGCCGACAACAAAGTTCTCGCCGGTCACGATGTTAGCGACGGTGGACTAATCACGTGTCTTCTGGAGATGTGCTTCGCTGGAATATCCGGGATAAACGTCGACATAACTCACAAATCTGCATCCGCCATTGATGTTTTGTTTACCGAGGAGGTTGGCTGGGTGCTGGAGGTCGATGAGAAGTACTGCGATGAAGCGATAGGAGTGTTCCAGCGCTATGGAGCACCCGTGTTCCTCATCGGAAAGTCTGTAGGCCTTGGACTGTTATCGGACGTGATCATCAAGGTGCACAATAACGTCGCACTCAACACCACCGTAATCGAAGCGATGAACATGTGGGAAGAGACCAGTTACTAACTGGAGCGCCATCAGACGAACGTTATCTGTGCTCTGGAGGAATTTACCAGGCTGTGGGAACGTACCGTTCCAGCCTATCGGCTAAGTTTCGATCCCCTTAGGTCTCGTTCAATACCGAAAAATCCGTCGGGACACATCAAAGTAGCGGTGATACGAGAGGAAGGTATTAACGGGGACAGAGAGATGGCCGCTTCTCTGCTGGCAGCCGGTTTCAACGTCTGGGACGTCACGATGCAGGATCTACTGGAACACCATGTCACCCTGGAGGTCTTCAGAGGTGTTATCTTCCCCGGTGGCTTTAGCTACGCCGACGTCTGCGGTTCCGCCAAGGGATGGGCGGCTAGCTTTCTCTTCCATCCATCGTTACGCGAGCAGCTGCAACGATTCGTCGCTCGCGAGGACACATTCAGTTTAGGAGTTTGCAATGGTTGTCAGCTGATGAGTTTGCTAGGATGGGTGGGCGACGAGGACGTTGAGAACGGACCAGGGATTTATTTGGACCACAATCTCTCGGAGAGATTCGAGTGCAGGTGGAGCACTGTCAGAATCGAGAGCTCACCCTCGATCATGCTGAAAAGGATGGAGGATAGCGTGCTGGGGATATGGATAGCTCACGGAGAGGGCAGGTTCACTTTCCGTGAGGAGGTTTTGCAAACTCTCAAGAGGAACAATTGCTTACCAATCAGGTACATTTTGCGTGATCTCTTTATGAAATTAAGAATGAAACACATATTTGATAGTTCTAAATATTTTAAGAATACTCTACGTTACTTTATATTATTTCTATCGCAGATATACGGACGATCATGGTAATTCGACCATATCGTATCCTATGAATCCAAACGGCAGTGTAAATGGCATCGCAGCCGTTTGCTCCAAAGACGGGCGACACTTGGCGATGATGCCGCATCCTGAGAGGTGCACGCAAATGTGGCAATGGCCTTGGAAGCCAGTGGAATGGGACTTTAAAGACTCGCCGTGGCAGCGAATTTTCGATAATGCATACACCTGGTGCCAAGAGCACAGCTAGATAGATATCTGTCAAATTCAACATATTCATTAATGAAGAATTTTATAACAATTTTCTATCGCTGCTTATATTTTTTTTATATAAACTCTCTTTTCATACAATTCTCAAGAGTTGAACATAAGAAGAGTCTGAAAATTATAAGATAAATAGATAAATAAGCAATAAAATTCTTAAATCCAAGATAATTATTTCTGATTTTTGGGTACTTTTGGTATTTTTCTATTTCTTCCTAAAGTTTTCCCTTTTATATTACGTACAGATAAACACTTCAGTTATTTCTCACGTTTACGTAAATGTACATCATCTCTACTATTCTAATTGTCGACAAAGATGATTAGAATTCACTCGATAGTCAAGATCCGAATTAGTGGAGATCATATTAGCGATATAACCGCTGCTCTTAAAAACGTGGCAGCATGTATATTAAATAGTCTTTATATATAAAATTCCATACGATATATCATTTAGGATACAGTCACATTTGCTTGAAATTTCTGAATAGCGTTTATTCAACCCTCATTTAAGAATACATTATGTTATGTAAAAATATGTAAAATTGAAAAAAAAACTATTTTGTATTTGCATTAGTTATTTACAACTTTTATTCAGACATGTAAATTATGCATATTCCTTAAATAACTTGTTAGGGTATTTCGGAGTAGTATTTCGTACATACAATTTATATAATCAATATCAAATCAATGTATATAATTGTTATAATTAATACGAAAGTAATACATCTCAAATCTGTTGCTTTATCTTTCATAAATATTTGCAACGAGTTCTATTCAAGAACATCTTTTTAAAAAAAAACTATATTACATTGTCATGATATGTAAAAATTTTAAAACAACTTCGTGACTTGTTTATGATTTCGAACTCGTTAGGAAAAGAATGTCGAGATCTTTGTCTATGTTCGCGCGCGATAATATAAAAATACGAACAATAAATTTTATATTTAGAACAAATTTAAAACGCAAATAATTCAGAACACAAAATATCAAGAACATTCAAAAACGTGAAAATTACTTGGATTTAATTGTCTTCATGTAAAGCTCTGCTTCGCAAAGAGAATATTTGTTTTCTTATTTGACTTTTCAAAGATTTCGCATCTGCATGCTGTTTCGACTGAGAGTTGCGGAAACGCTGCAAAAAAGAAATTTAATGTATAGTTTTTCTTGATAGAATAAAAAGAGAATAACTTTATTTTTGTTTCAATCAATTTTAACGTTACCTTACGCGGAGATACTTTTTTCTCTTCTTCACTATCGGTGGATGAATACGTCAATCGTTGTGCTATCCGTCGTTTACTACTGACCGCGGATTTTTCTGCGGATTTTTCTGCGGATTTGTCTTGCTTCTTCGTAGTGCTCGCAGTTTTGACCCTCGGTGACTTGTTGGAAGATGGAAATTTTTTCAGTAACAATTGTTTCAGTCGATAAAAACATGATTCGTAAATTTTTTGCTAATATTTAGAGTGGAAAAATATAATATTATTACATCTATTTTAGAGACATATAGTCAAAACTATTTGCTTTCTATTTGTATTAGAATCCTTATTGTATTAGAATACTTATTAAGTATACTTGCACTTTTTATACACTTTTTGAATTGACTTTCTGGGTTTTTTTTTTTTTTAATATTTTACAAAATAAAAAAACAATTGCGTTAATACGCGAATGTTATAAAGTCATTAATAATGAAGATATTCAGTAATTATAACGACTTACCAATGCTTCGTTCGAGCTGAACAAAGTTAAATTGCCCGGGTTATAGACTGGAGTGTTATCTTTCATACTTATACGTTCACCTATATATAAAAAAAAATGTAAGTAGATAGCAATTTTTTCCAGTGTACGCAAAAATCTATTGGGCTGTGTAATTTCGGATTTTTTAATAGGTTTTCTATTGGAAAAAATTCCAAAGTTACTTATTATACAACCCAATAGTTTGTATTATTTACTCACCTTCCCAGTAGCACAATGGTGGCACGATCTTACGTCCTCTCGAACTAACAAGCGCCTTCAATGAGTCCACCGACGCATCATGAAGATTGTCTTCAAAATTTTATATACATTTTATATACATATTATATACATATAAAATGATTTCTATTCAGAGTAAGATATATTTCAAGAAAATACATTACTATCGTTTTGCAAAGTTTCCCAAGTTAGGCAGAACTGTTTGATATTCGCGGGACATCCGTTGCGACATTGCATTGCAAGCTTCTTGGAAATATCTAAGTGCAAAATGAAATTGTTAATTGAATAGATTTGTCATAAAGCGCACCATATTTTTATCAGATTTTAGATACTTTACTATGTTTATTGTCATTCAAATGTCCGCGAAGTTCGTAGAATTCATGATTTACGGTTTCGATCAACGTTTCCGATAATCTTTTCAGTATAACATCCGTCGTGAAATGTCTATTGATGACATAACCAGTCTCGCTATAAATAGAAAAAAAAATTAATTTAACATCGTCACAATTGTCAATAAAATTGTTCAAGACAACTTACTTGAGTAATTTGCCTTGGAAAATCAGCCCTAATTTATACGAGGATTTCGCATAGTGCACTACTTTTGGTATCCACGCGATCAACACTTTAGAATGATTTTTACGTTTATCGCTGTTAGATTGTTCAATTGCTGGACTCATCATCGATTTCGTCGAATCTTTCTTACTGGGATGAGCCTCCTTTTTATTATCATCTGTCATTTTAGAATCATTTTTAATAATCACAGATTTCGTGGTAAATACGGGTTCCTTCGTGTAAACTTTATTCGTCGACCGGGTATTCGCACGCTGCTTGTCCTCCTCGACAATCATGTCTGAATAATGCAATTGTGCGTTATTTAAACTCGTGTTACTTATTTTCAAATTCAGCTTCACCGGTATCGAATTGGTTATGATAGGTTTTGATCTCTTCGTTACAATCTCGCTTTCCGGTTGTCTGATGAATTCTATATGCAGTCTTCGAGGCTTTTCGGAAACATTGTTATTACTTTCATCATTAATCACAATATCTTTGTTTAAATAAATATTTGACTTTGTACTTTTATTTGCTTCCTGCGTGTTTGTATCTACAGTAATCACTTTGCTATCGACATTAGAAATAATTCGCGAATGTGCCTGCTGTTGCGGAGGCTTCGCTGCTTCATGTACACCTATATTGTTCTTCAGTACTTTCGGATTGATAGAAAAAGTTGCTTCGTGCGGTCTTTGATGCACAACTTTGTGGCGTCTTCCCATGTCCGTTGCTTCATCAGACGTGCTGTAAAATTCGGTAAGTAAAGTTTCCTTAGCATTCGTGATTGAAATTGTTTGAACAGGTTCAGTGTGCGGCGAATCGACAGCACAATGCGACCGAAATCTCGCATTGTGCTGTTCAGCATTCTGCTGAGGAACTATTTTCTTTCTCGCTGGACGCTTGTGCATTTTTTCTCTGTGTCTTAAAACTTGTTCGACCGATATTTTTGGTATGCCCGCGTAAATTTCGCTCTCCAATTTATCTGAATCTCTGTTATCGTTCTGCTCCGGCTCAACAGTTACAGCTGGATTCGACTGATGGGTGGTGATAAAATCATTTTTTATACTTTCGTATCCCGGGTCGGTAGAATGTGCATAGCTTTTCTGTTCCGTCGCTCGGTTTTGAGTATTATTAGTATCTACACGTTTGTTATTGTGCATGGTAATCTGCTGTTGCGGGATCGGTGCCGACTTGGAAGTATCCTGATTCGTAACAACTATCGAGTCATAACTACGTTCTGAAGGCAGTGTGTAAGACACTATGTAATTCAGACGATCTAATACTTGGACAACGTTATCAATATATGTCTCAGGACAATTCTTATCCACCAAATTGTTAATAATAACATTCAGCTTATCCTCCTGAATGTATTCGTCTGGATCTATTAATTTGGCCATTTCCCTGAAAGAGTACGATGTATTTGCATTCGATTTAAAACGCTGTTCATTATCTTCGTCGTGTGCTAAGTTTACATTCCTCGTTTGTGCAATAGGTGCTGTATTATCTTCTGAATTAGGAATAAAGGGCTTTGCAAACGAAGTATTTGTCTTGCATCTTTGAGAATTGTTTGCAGAACGATTATGATGTATTTTTTTCTCCTTTGGAGATTTATTGCTCAAATATTCAGACTGGTTGTGTTCAGTTGATCTGTAAGACTTCATTTTGAAAACAGTTCTACCATTACTCACGCAAGCGTAGGTCAAATCTGTCATTTCACTTTTTAAGTCGTCATCACTATCAGTAATAGGAGTGGGCCAACGAAATTTTATTGGACATCCCTGGCTAATATAGGTTTTCCATATCAAATAAACATTCTCCCAGTCATCAGGAAATCCATTGTAAAATTTGTTGTGTACATAATCCGGCAATTCTGCGTGAGAGTGACAAGTAATGTAAAATTAATAAAATAAGTAATATATCAAATTGATAAAATGGATTTTACTCTTAAATACCATTTGTTTCATCGACAATATTTCCTTTTAGATTATATTTGTGTTTAAATTTGGATTCAATACATGTTGCAGTGTATCTTCTTACAATCGGTTTGCTATGTACAAGTTTTCCACTATTAAAGATAAATAAATGTTAATATTTAAATAAATTAATGATGTCTACAACGTACATTTTGTACTTACCATTCTAACGTTCCTTTGATTATTAATTCATATTGATCGTTAAATATAACTTTCCATCTTGAAAAAACTCTAACTTTCTGTATTTTATCGACAGAAATCTGTGATGCAACATAAGATTGTGGATAGTTTTTGTTAGTATTAGTGGATATACAGCTGTTCTTCGCAGAAAGCATATTTGATGGGGAAAACTGTACAAAACCATCAAACACAGTTGATGCTGCTTTTTTATCATTTGACAACATATGAACTCTGTCTTGGTTTTTCCCATCTGTGCGATAAATTTTACTTCCTACTGGAGGTGGCATAACAAATTGATCAAATTTATCTTGGTTAACATCGCACTGTTTCACACTGGATGTAGCCATTATTTTTCTATTATTAGTATTGTAATGCTTTTTTTTCAAAAGTATGTTTCTGAGATTATTACTGGAAGTTAAAATCTCGCTCTTCATCGAAGGAGCATGTGACATTGTAGGATTCAAAGGTGAATTTATCCAGCATGGTGAATTCAAATAACTGACATTGGTACTATCCCCATTAATGCTAGAGATGTTGGACCAAGTTGGACCAGAGAATAGCTTCTGATCTACATTCTTGTTGCACTGATTTCTTAGTCGAGCCAATTTTAAAGAGAGCTGCAGTTTTTTGAATCGTTCGTCTACCTCAAAATCCTGAAACGTAACCTACGATAAAAGTTAAACATGTAATTCAGATTTATACAGTTACGATAATTCTCAAATAACATAAATTATTACATTTTTTTTATTACTTGAATATATACATACCTCAGCCTGAACGCACTTGTCCATGGTGGTTATGGTGATTTTTATGATACAATTTTGTTTGATAATTTTATTTGGAAGAGTTGTGAAAAATGAAAAGAAATTGCAACCAGTTGTAACAATGCAGTGATATAAATACGATTGAGTTTCTTCGTTTTTCTCTTCCAATGTTTATACACACGCAGTTAGGATAAGATCAAGTATGATCAACAACTTGTGGCGTTTCGGATTGTTTCGAATGTACTGATTGGTTCCAAGTACGCATCCGATTTTCTATACGTCAAATTTTATAACCGACACGTAAATCGACATAATCTGTGTTGACATTCTTGTAATATTTATTATTATATCATTTAGAAGAATATAAAAGTTGATAACGTGTACAAGTTGTTCATATTTTGATTATTGTTAAAAATAAAAAAAATTGGCAACATTTATGTTTATTTGACCGTTATATAGGTAATTTAAATAATACGTACAATTCAAATAAAATGTGCGCATGCCCGAAATAGGTAAGTAAAGCCTTGTGTCCACGATGCTAGAACTCGGTCCGAGATCTCGGACCGAGGGACAGTTACTAGAACTCGGATCATGTACACACTGAACTTGGATGCAAAACTCGAATAAGAAGCTCGAACGAAAAAATGCGTTGCGTCCCATTTTTCGGAAAGAGTTATTGCGAGTTATTAGATTTTACTAGTTTCTTTTGCTATCTGTCAAGACAAAATATAAGATACTTAGGGTGCCGTCACATACAGCCCGTAATCCGTAATCCGCACCGGAAGTCCGCAAAAGTTACTAGGGATTGCGT